GAGATTCCAATATTTGGTTCTTATAGAGTAATTGATTAATATTTTAAAGTTGCCATGTACGGAACTCTATACAGTACAGTATAGTCTGCATTTACGCGGTCAATTGAACCCGTGGAGGTCTACGTAAAACGAGAAACCCGTAAACGTAATAACAGAACATATGGGATTAATTGAAATAAAGATTGGGCCGGCCCCCAAACTCCACTTTTTCCGAAACACTACGTACCTTGTAGTAAAAATAACATCTTAATTTTATGATGGTATGCACACACAATTAATATTTAAGAAAAATATCAATAATATTAGGTTTTTTAACACTTACATTAGTAGAAAAGATGGGTCGGCACACGTGGATGGCGGCTGGTTTCGAGGCAGAGGGCAGATTAGTTGCCCTCCGGTGAATCACTTTCACTACTTGCAGAGGTTTGCAGGGCCTGCCAGACAGACCCCTCAAAGTCCATATCCTCACTGTCACTATCACTGACTTGGGCTGGCTGTGGTTGTAGTGGGTTGCGGGCGAAGAAGTCCTTAATACTACATTGACGACTAGCAGTGATGTTGTCGAGGTAGATCTGGATATACGGCTCCATAACTTTCGTCAGATGGTTATTAGACACTTCATACCGATGCTTGTCTGGGTCGTTGAGCTTAATTTTCTCCCCCAACTCGATGACTTCCTTCACACAATCATGGCTTGGTCCAGGTAATTCAAGGTTTTTCTCGGGTGGTGGGGGTCCAGCGGAAGCCATTGTGAGGGGAATAGCGGGCACAAGAGAGAACTGTATACGCGGACTGAGAACAATGAGATAGGCCCGGCTAGGTCAGCGACTTCTACCCTCTGGTGGCAGGGCACATCATGTTACATTAGACCAATCACAGCTAGCGGCTGAGGGAATGCTTGGGTGGTAAGGATGCGTGGCCCAATCGCAGTCCGATACGTCATATGACGTCAGCGATAACGTAAGAGCGGCCTAATGCGCACCACTCACCGCGCCGCTTCCCGTGTATGGTCAAGAATGGACCGCATGGGTTAAAAATGGCGTGGAGGTCTGGACCTCTCCAGCCGCTCGCCGCGTAAATGATGAAATTTACCGCGTGATTAAAACATTTCATTCTGGCAAGGCACCGCGTAAATGACCAAACGCGTAAACAAAAACCGTGTAAATCCAGACTATATGTACTGTACGTGTATTGAATCTTACTTAGAGAGTTGGAGAAAAAAATGGGGGCACAGGGTATAGGTATGGATTTTGCATGCAAAAAATCCATGACTATTGGTATGGCAGTCATATGTGTGGTGTGCAGATTATACAATGATCGTTACTAAGATGGCTTTCTTTCTGACTAACCTAACTTAACCATTTACAGCACAGTCCGTCAATATGGCTGCCATACCTATATCCACCATGAAAAAAAAAAAAAATACAGTACTGTACTTTTTACTCTTATCATTTCTATCAAAAATTTGTAGTTTTGGGGCTAATTTTCTATTTAACTTAAATATAGTAAAAGTTGGCAGGGAAATTTATTATGATAAATATCTGGGGAACCTGGTTATGCATGCACCCAGGGGGCGGACCGGGACTTATTTTGAAGAACAAAATAGAAAACAACTACAGTACTGTATTTTAGGTTAGGTTTGGTAGGTTAATTCCCTTCATTTTATGAATGAAAATTTTAGAATGTAGATATGTCTATAAAATGTGAAACTAACCAACCCTCAATCTCTGAAAGTAAACATGGGACATGAGAAGCAGCTCCTCCCTGGATGAAAAACTTTCAAAAATAAAAAAAGTTAAACTATGCAAAACTTACTCCTTCTCCATTTTTTTTTTGGGGGGGGGGGGGTAAGAATATTTGTATCATCTATGGAGAAAGTTCTGTAAGTTGGTGTTAATGCCAGGCCATCCTCATCAAGTATTAACGTACCAGATAATGCTTCACATATATTTTATCATTCCTGAAATGAACCAAACTAAGCTGCCATAAATAACTAACAGAACTGGACCTAAATGATTACAGTTCTCTTCTATTTTGTAAAGGAAAACAAAATAATTTCTGTAGTGTGTTACCCCGATGTTTGTGCTGTTGGTAGTCTGTTTTAGGGGATCACTGCAGACCAACAGTTACATGGGGTCTTCAAATGATGGGGAGGAATATTATGTATAGATGAAGCTCAAGTTTGGATAGGTTAGTATGGTTCATTTTATGAACCATGAGTTCTATATTTTAGCAATGTCTGGTACGTACTTCGGAAAGTTCCCAGGCTTACTAAACGTGAACAGTTTTGCACATGATTTTATGCCCGTTACTATAGGATTGCTGAAGAAAATTTATCTTTTACCTCAAGAATAACCAAAATTGGGTACAGTACTGTATAGGATTTGCACATTTCTTATTTGGTTTTTCCTTAGTTTTCATTGTGAATAAAGAAGCTCCATCCCCATTCACCTTTTTTACGGGGATTAGCCCACCCGTGCACAGGTCACTGACCCACATCATGGCCGGGGGGGGGGGTAAAAATACAATAATAATAATAATAATAATATAATAATTAATCAAATTAAATAAAAATAATAATAATAAAAAATCAAGAGTGAGAAACGATATACCTGGACAGTATGAATGTTGTGTTGTCAATGGGAAGAGAAACAATTGAAACCCTGCAATTGTGTGTAAATGAGGCAGAAAGTTAGATCAACAACCTGGGACTTGGTCACATTATGCTTCAAAAAATTTCCCAGGCAGTAGTACCTCCCCGTTTGATAACTGCTTACTACCTTCAAACGACACCATTCATCCCACAGTGGGAGTGTAAAAAAAAAACAATCTCTAGATGACTGTGTTTAACATGTGATTCCTTTCTAAACCAAATTACAAAAGAATTGTTTCTGCACAGTCTTTAGACATTAACTCAGATTATTTGTGGTTTGGTTAGATTTAGTTTCATATGGTTGGGGTTAGGATAGAGTATAATACACTACAGTATTACAGATATGTAGCATTACTACACAATAAATATTAAAATTAAATTATGTTAAAGAAAGGATGCACATATTCTCTAATGTTTTTCTCCATTTACACATACACTGTAGTAAAATACTGTAGTACAGTACAGCAATACCCCAATTAGCACTCAGGATATGCTCCTGGAAAATGGAGCACTATCCAAAGCAGTGCTCTATGTGGTCATTATATCATTGCAAATTCTGTACAGTATGTAGATGCGTTGCTGATGACACTTATTTTTTATATATACCCATTACATATACAGTACAGTATTTTATGTGAAGGGTGTTATTATAGTAACGTATCTTTACTAATTTATGAATAAAAAATAAATACAGTAGATATTGTATCATAATGACATCGTTTGATGAAGAGTGATGATTGTAGTAGAAAAAGTGCAAGAGGCAGCGTGTCAGTGAGATGCACTGGATGGGAGGGAGGCAGTGGATATCATACGGCTCTGCTCTGGCTGAAGCTAATCCATCTCTGAAATAATGGGGGTTATGGTTGTGAGGGAGATTGTGGTAAGTGGTGAGGAGGTGATGCGTGTATTGGTTTCTTTCATGATACTACTGCCAGACACTATTGAACAGCTGATATCTACCCACAAAATTTTGTGTTAGTATAAATGAGTAATGTTGTATCCCTTTAGCATTGTTACATAACATTTTGAATTATGGAATAAGAAGCAGAAAATTGTAGGTGATTAGAGAGGTGTAGAGGAAGGGAGTGGTAGCATGCACCGGGTGTGTTGCCAAGCGCTTTTCAAGAGCTGATCTTCAACCTGCCACCACACACTTGTGCTTTAGTTAACTACTCACAATTTTGTGTCGTACAATAAGACCTATATTATACTTAATATAAAGTTATGAAAAACACTTATTAATCAACTGTAGTTAAGGGTACTTAACAGCAAAGCACTAAACTAGCAACTTATCACAACAGCAGTGGGAGACATGATGAGTGAAAAATAGTCACAACAATATTAAAAAATCTGTGAGTCAACAAGACTGTGTCCACAGTGTAAACATGACGAAATTTGTGCTGTACTATACTATAAAGAGCGTGCTGTCAGTGATTAGTCGAGTGAGTAAAAACAAAGAAAACCGGCTCTTGGCATGTTAACAATGTTTAGATACGTGACTTTTGACTACAATACTTTAATGGATTTCTCTTTCTCTTGAGAGAGAGAGAGAGAAAGCTCCAAGATGCAAGCACAAGCACTTTAGCGAAACAGCTCTAACCGGGGTATACACGTAGACCTACTGGGCCTATGCTGCATTTGCACCGGTTTTGAATGTGTGTATCCATCCAGTTGTCATACTGTACAGTACTGTATTTTCCTCTCTCTGTATGGTGGCAGATTTGTCTAACCTGTGTACAGTGTTGAGTTTGTGGTGATTGCATACATACAATACAGTACTGTACAGTATATCTGACTCTAGACTCAACTGTAATTTATTGTACTACATAAAACTGAGATCTCTTGTTTCAGTATCTTGGGTCGTGAAGTGTGTACAGGTACTCCCCGACTTACGACCAACTCGACTTACGTCCACTCGCACTTACGACCGCCTCAGTCGTACCAAAATTTGGTCAAATGTATTTTTGAGTCCCTAAGTCAGTACACAGACAAAATTTTCATCTGTATTTCACTTTAAAATGGCTGGCAACCTTAAAAGTGAGAGTTTTGTGGTGCTGAGAAGAAAAAGAGACATCCATTTTCGATTTTCTGTGTATTATTTAAGCATTTCCGACTTACGACCATTTCGACTTATGACCTGGATGTTGGTCCCTAACCCTGTCGTAAGTCGGGGAGTACCTGTACAGCGTATTGCATTTTGTAGAAGTTGCATAAAATACGAAACTAGCTCAAATAGAGGGTGTACAATACTGTACATTATCTACTGGGTGATAGTTTACAACAATGCATTATTATTAGCCAACTTTTTATGATACATGAAGCTTATAAATTGTTGGTATCTTTGTAGGACAAAACTTTTGGCCTCAAGAACAAGAAGGGAGCAAAGCAGCAGAAGTTCATCCAGCAGGTGCAGCACCAAGTTAAACATGGGGGTAATAAGACTGCCAGGGAACTTGAGAAGGAGAAAGAAAACCAGTTGAAAAAGAAGGACGACAAGTTTAAGGAACTTGCTGAGATTAATGCCATCTTTAAACCTGTTCAACAAACTGCTAGTAAAGGTTAGTGACAAAAACAAGTTATTGTGATGTGCTCATTCTAAAACATTAGAACTACTGAACTACAGTATTTTTATCTGGGACTGCTGAAAGCACTTAAACACACACATGCATGTGCACACACTGAAATAAACTTAAAATTGACCCATTGAATAATAATCGAAGTTCTGTAAGATAAATTGCTATTTGTTCGAGTGAAGGCACACCGTAGAAAGTTAATGTGTAAGTACAGTAATACCACATTTTACTTCTACAGGTGGTGACCCAAAATCAGTGCTGTGTGCATTCTTCAAGCAGGGTCAGTGCACTAAAGGTGGAAAGTGCAAATTCTCACATGATCTTAATATAGAACGAAAGGTAAGTTTATACAGTACAATATAGTAAACGTATTTACTGTATACCCAACTTAGGTCATCAAAGTTTTCAACCTACAACTTATTGTAAATAAAATTGTAAGCCCAACAGGCCCTTCATATTCGCGGGGGTTAGGTTCTCAAAGTGGCCACGAATCGCCATTTGCTGACCAGGGGGGGGGTGTACATTTTTTCTTGTGTACAAAGAAATGTATATTCCCTTTGTGTGTTTGCCCCTAGGACAATTATTTCTTTTACCTGTATTGAATATGTGTGTTTGTAGACACAAGTCCAGTCCGTACTTTATTAATAACAAAGCACGGAATGGACTTGAAGGTAGACTCAACATTTTTAATTCATTTGTTTCTAATTATTTGTGAGAGGATTTTCCCATTATATACAATAAGGGACAAGAAATTACGCTCTCTAGAACGAATGGCTCCCTGTCCCGGCCACAAAAATGCCAGCAACTTTAAAACTACCCTTGGACATTCTTGGGTACATCCAGGGTGTCATCCGTGAATAATCTAGGTCCGTGAATTAAAAATCCGCGAATCTGAAGGGCATGCTGTATCTCACAAAAGTGACCCACCAAGCTGAAATCCAGTTTTTTAAACCAAACAATAGGTTACTGTCTAGTAATTGAACATTTGTTATTTGAACATTCTGGTGAAGTCTTCAGGTGCCTATCCCCATCCAAATAGTTTTTCATCTAGTTATATATGGATAGAAAAAGACCCTGAAATACAATACAGTGGTCCCTCGGTTAACGAAATTTCGGTTAACGAATTACCTTCCTTAAGAATCTTCAATTCGGTTCACGAAAAAAAATTCGATTAACGAAATCCTTATGAAAATCACATTTTGTTTTGAACATCAGCTTATAAGCTGAGGAGGTACTCAGCCAATTCAGTGATCTCTTCTATGTTTACATTCAAATTATTCACTATCTTATAAGAATTCCAGCAATGCAAATTAAATTCACCTGGGTCACTTCTATTATATTTTATAAGCAAAAAACAAAAACTCAATCTAACGGACATTAATTAACAATTAAATACTTCACACCACAGGCGCCAACTGTCAAACATGTCACTGTCACCCCTCCCTCCCTACCCCCCACCTTCCTGAGAAACGTTTGGGGAAAGAGACTAGGTTTACAGGTTTAAAAATACATAATACCTCAGACTTAAGTTAGGATGATATAATTTGCATTGCTGAAATCCTTCCAAGACAGGGAATAATTTGATTATAAACGTCATATATTTTGCACAAAAGATAAAATTTTTGCTCTCCCTAATAAAAATTCTTAAATTAGATCTAAAATTTGTATGTCTAATGCAAATTTTAGCTTGTTTATATTCAAATTAATTACTATCTTATAAGAATTCCAGCAATGTAAATTATATTCTGGCCGGGTAATTTCTATGAATTTTATGAGCTAAAAACAAATCTCAAATAAATAAACAAATTATACTTCACCAGACACTCTGTCACCTCACCTCCCGCTCCCCCCCTCTTCCCATGCTCGCTGGCTACCTCCCTCCTTGCCTTCCCAGACAAAAGATTCGTGTTTTGTTTAGGCTTTAAGGTGTTTATTTTATATAATATCTCAGACTAAAGTTAGGATAATATAATTTGCATAACTGAAATCCTTGCAAGACGGAATAATTTGAATATAAACGTCATATATTTTGCACAAGAGATAAAATTAATCACCTGTATCATATTACAGTAGTGATTTAAGACTTCTAGTGTATATGTACAATATATATAGTGATTTAAGGGCGATTTAGGGGAATTTTAGGAGTGTTTCTGACTTTATGCATTTTTTGCTTTACTTTGTATATACTTTTCTGTGAGCTGGAACCAATTACCCAATGTCCCATTGAAACAATGGTTTCGGTTAACGAACGACCTTTTGGAACGAATTGTGTTCGTTAACCACTAGGGACCACTGTACAGTAATCTACCCATTGCTGTATCCGGAATCCCTGGTCCTCGGACCTCTCCAATAGTCGAGATGGAAATCGGCCCGGTAAAACTCTCCATTCCGGATCTGCGACTGATATTGATAACGAAACAGTTTATTTAGCCAGAAGAATATAGATACAGGGTGGATAATAATAACTATTGAAATGTCTGAGCCAATTGAGAGTCTGAGCATATTCCAAAATTCCGAGAACATCTCTCCAAACCTCTCCGTTCTGGGCTTGAGAATAAATTTTCCGAGAGTTCCAAGAGATTGCATCATGCTCCATCGCATTCCCACGTGCTGGGTGCATGAGAGGTCTAGCTGCTTGGATTACTTAGTTCATATTCTGCTACCATTATAGAAGGCTGTTCCCTTCCTAGCTGCTGTTTTTGCATACAATTTGTTTAGTACATAAATGTACCAGGACAATTAATTAAAACACATTTTTAAGAGGAGAGTCCGGTTTTTGGTGTAGGTGCTTTTAATTTTGGTAGATTTTTATGATATTCCTGTCATAAATCAAGGATCATATGTACATCAATTCTAGCCACATAAACCCCTTCTACCCTTTAAAATTTTCAAGGTATATTTTCTCCATTAATTCTTTCTATTTTGCCTTGAAATTTATAGTACTAAGAGATCTAGTATTGTCATTGAATACTCAACATCGATATGTTTGTTTTTGCCTTTGATTTTATGAATACAAAAATTTCAAGTTTGGTTGAAATTTTTTTCAAAATATCGAGATTGAATATTCAGCCAAAAATAAATCTTACAAGATAGAAAAACCTGGACTCTGGATTTGTGTTGAGGAATGGTTCTTCCTGTGCTGAGTCTTTGTTTCAATGAAATTGCTCTAAAATTGGCAGAGAAATTCCAATCTGAGTGTTGGAAAAGTTCATTTTGAGATACAGGCCGATAAAGTTTCTCAACCTTTCTTCCCCTTGTGTAAGTGCTCATTCTGAGCCGATTTTACGTGTAATATCTTTTTATTTTTTTATTTTTACATCTTCAACTAAACTCCAGTTATATTCTTTATGTGAGGTAGAGGGGAGGGGTGGAAGGCTGGGACTGGGCTGCATCAGGTGCCCCTGAGACGGCTGTTACAGTCTCTATTATAGCGAATATTCTCTTCTTTCATCCTCTTGGATTTAGCAGTGCTCTTGGCACGTGCTTTCTTTAGTTGTCTTTTATGTTTTGAATCACATGCCGTCCTGATATTCGAGGAGAGAAGCCTGGTACAGCAGTACAAGTGAGGTAAGATGTGCAGTGCAGCAGAGTGCACAGCTCTCCTTGTCAAAGTCTGAGCCATACTGATGACACATGCTTCTACTAGTGACTACCACCTCCCCTTTACTTGCCAGAGTTGCCTGAAATTAATTTATAATGTGTTTTTGTGCTATCTATTAAAAATTTGGGGGTAAATATTTTACCACGTTCATTCATATGTCTACCCAAGGAAGGTTGGGGGAGGGGGGGAACCATACATAACTGCATAAGTATTACGAATATTGCCATAAAACCTGGTCCAGATACAACCATAGGCAACACCTTTGCTCCCCTTAAAGCAGTAATAAGACATAAAGAATTGTGGTATGTGTACTGTACTTCACATTCAGTAATTCAGCAAATGGAAAACACTGAAGGACCTTAGCTTCCGTCTTTATTCAAGACATCTTCAGGTCATGAAACCCAGTAATCCTCCACCCCAACAAGGGTGACCTGACATTGCATCAAGTCAGTAATATGAGACCACTAACCCCCACTCCACTACACCAAATGAGAGAAGAGTTTATAGATAATTACCTGACATTGCATCAGGTCAGGTCAGTAACATGAGACCCACTAATCCCATACTCTGCCTCCGTCGCTAGGTTTTAAGACTTAAAATGTGATTACAGTTATGTACGGTACAGTACTATCACTGTGAGCCGATAGCCAGAATTTAAATTTTCTCGGAAAATCGTTAAAATTTCGGCTTTGGGACTATTTTCTGAGGGGCGCATTTTCCGGTACAGGAAATTTCCGGGGTTGGTGGGTTGGTGGATATTTTTCCAGGTTCGAGAGATGATGTAATGGGCAATTTCTGGAACTTTCAAGCACCTTTCCCGTTACCCGGAAAATTCCGGGGATGAGGGATTTTTTTCCGGCTTTGAGAGAGTTGTCTCGTTACCCGGAAATCTCTCATTCTCGGAAGTGCTCTGCACCAACTGTTCTGGCTAACGAGATATCACTGAGGAATCTTCCCATTAGCCAGAACAATTGGTGCAGAGCTCTTCTGGGGATAAGAGATGTCCAGGTAACGAATGAGACGACTCTCAGACACAAAAAATCCTACATACCTTAAATCTTTCTGGGTACCGGGAAAAGTTTCTGAGAGTCTAAACTACTTATTTTGCGCTTGCAGACATTATAACATATCCTTGGAATGTTTCTGGGTGCTTGGGAAATTTTCCAAGAGTCTAAACTACACATCTCATCTCCTATGGACAGGCACTCACATTACATTTAGACCATCGGCACAGGGGAAAATATTTATGGCTTGCAAAAATGTGTTTTAAACTTTATTCACTGCATCTTTTCTGATAATGGTAGAGATATGGATTTGATACCATACTAATTCTGAATAACTTTCCTACAAGATTGTTCCAATAAAAGATCCCCAAAAATAATTCAGTATGATATAATGTTAAAGCCTGAATTCTTTTATGGAAAAATTTAAGAAATGTTGATACTGGAGTCTATAAAATCAGCTCTGATTAAGTTAGCAACATAATTTTTTACCCTTTTTTTTTTTTTTTTAAGTTTGCTTAAAAATATCTGATACACGCTGTCAAATGAAGGCATTTTTTAGGCACGAGGCTGTGAGCAAATATATTTATGGCTAGTAAAAAAAGTGTATAAACATTTGTTCAAAACATCTGTTCTAATTGTGCTAAGAGTGATGAATATGCTACAGTTGTAAAATGTGTTCCTACACCTCGTGGTAACCCGTGTCTCCAAACGGCAACGTCGCAGTAGTAGTATCA